AGGGGGGGGGGAGAGAGATAGAGATAGGGGTAGAGATAGATAGAGGAAGAAACTACGACTCCAGATTAACTACATTCACCAGTTACGTGCCGAAGCGGAAACACAAGACAGACTGAGTGTCCAATATAATGTTTATCGTGATCCAAGCCACGCTTACGACAGTACTGGACAAAACCGATTTTCCGGGGAACCGGATTTTGTGCGCTCTCTTGTTATTTGTACAATTGACATCGGTGGAGACCAGCTAGTGTCACTATGGGGACCCACGTAACATGGAATGACGCTGTTTTGAGTGGCACCCCACCAGAAGGTGTTGCACCTGGTGTTGGTAATACAAAGAGCTGCATCGGTATTTGGTCGCTAATAACAACAAGGGGGCTATACCAAAAAGTGCTATTTTGAGAAAATCGAAGGTAAAATTTTTGGATCCTTGTTCACTTTCTTTAAAAGACAAGGAGAGTTTTCTCTATACTCTAACAAATATATACACCAATGAAACCACACTTCTCCTCTAGGTAGGGCATTACCTACTTTTGGTGTAGGTCAAGATTTCTGGAAACTCCCGAAATCTGGGTTAGCTCGCTTGTCCTTGATTAAAACCAACCATTTATGTCCTTGTGCTTTCTCAAAAGCAACTATTCCGGGAGACAATTTAGTAAACTACAAAGATCACGAACATAACAACCGCTGATCCATCGTTCAGAAATTAATTATCCGGTTTACCTGATTCAGGACTCAAACTTTGCTCAGCTCTGTCGTTCCTCCTGAGACGACAATTTGGGGACGTCATGACGCGTTTATAGCGAGGCCGGTCGTGAATACGTCACGCGCTGGCTGATATTATTGCCACTTTCAGGTATACAATGTTTTTTATTGTGTCCTCTGAAGGGTCGAGACCTTTTAGAAATGTGTGTGGCCCGTGCAGAAAGTTCGTTTTTAGACTGCGATGAGTGGGTTCTTAAATTCTCTTTAGCCTTCTCAGTAGATGTGAGATTTAACGCCTCATTGATGATTATTATTTAGCCTGTTAGTAATGGGAATGTTACCACGAAATGGTATTTTGAACCGCAGTTTGCATGTACTTTGCTGCTGCGATTTTTAAAAAAGTCTCTTTTCTCTAAACCCAGGCCTATATAAAATGGAAGTCACGTTTTCGAAGATTTAAGCTTCTGAAGGATCAAAACCGATTTTTAAAAAAACCAAACTAAACAGGACCGAGGATAATATGGCCCTGTTGGGCACACAGCAAACGAACAGGAACAAAGGAATCACCAAAAACTCGTATGTGCACGAATCCGATTTAGCTGCTAAAACAAACCCACTCGATGCAAACAGACGGACCTGATTATTCATTTTAGTGGGTTTGATGAGTAATGTAAATATATCATGCAGATTTCAATTCATCGTTCTCTGTCTGTTGTCATTCTAAGATGTGCACGCAACAACGCCGTTTCCTGAAGTCTATCATGCGCAAGTATATCGGCTCTTTGCATTTAGCAGTTTAGTGTGACTTTGCGTGATAACATAATATTATGGCGCAATTAGAGTTAAACTACTCAGATGGGTAGCTTTCGTAGAGCGAATAGCCACCGGTACAATCGTTGGCATTTGTATTAAAATGATCACGGTGTCTCGGTAATGTGTTAACGGCTTCCTTCCCTGATATTTTTTAGTCTATTTAAACTTAATTTCTTAATGCAAATACAGTCCAACTTACTCTAACGGCCATCTGTAAGACAACCACCTTTACAAACGGCCACTTCTCATTTTACCCCTTGCATTTTCCACGCATTATAATGAAACCGTGTAAGTCTTCCACTTGTCTAAGACAACCTTCGTTGTCCATGCCCAAAGACTTTTCTGAAGGACTCAGTGACAGAGTGACAATGCCCAGCAAGACAGATCTCTCCACGGTGCCTTTAATGCCCAATATGACATATATGTCATATCACATATCTTCATTATTTACATTTTTTAGATCGTTTTTTTTTCTTCTTTTTTTAAGAAAAAAAAATCACCAGATTCTTTCTTTTTTTCATTTGACATTAATTTTGAAAATATGAAATTGTTAAGTCCATGGAATCTATGCTTGGGCACTAGAGGGTTAAACAATTCCGACTGCAGTGCGTTGTATTCTCCTGTTTAGCATGCCCATGTCCAGTTAAAACGAATAAAACCTGATATCCAAAAGTCCGCCAGGTTTATATGAGGTGAAATGTGAGACTGGTTTACTGCTTCGCATATGTAACAGGATTATCTTCGCCGATTCACCGCACTTGAGATAAACCAACTAACTGTAACATTGCGGGGAGGGGAAAACTCTGCAGCTCTGAACGCCCCACAAAACAGTAATCCTTGACACAACCCAGCGAACCACAAAAGAGCGTGTATACAGCCAGTGAGGTGACAAAGGATCAGAGACAGTGGGATGACGTCGGTGGTTGGTCTTCCTCGTGCTCTTGTCCCTGTGGTTGTAATTAGAACACATCCTTGGTGACATAAGGTGGGCGTTTGCGGATCCTTTGCCTTTCCTTACCCGTCACGACCTGGGAGGCCCGTTGTCTTTGTGAGAGGTGACCACGACAGGGAAGTGGGAGATAATAGACTTTTGTGATAGGATTTATTTCTGTTCCTTTCTTTTCCCTATTTCTCTATTTCATTGTTACTTTTTACTTGCCCAAACCGTCAAACGCTTGGAGTAAAAGTGTGTGTGTGTGTGTGTGTGTGTGTGTGTGTGTGTGTGTGTGTGTGTATGTGTGTGTATGTGTATGTGTATGTGTGTGTGTG